TTTGAGAGAGGTAAATGATACCCAAAACTGATCAGGGGAAAGCCAAGGTGAACAAAAGACTTGAATGTAGTGTGTGGTGTGTGTGTGTGTGTGTGTGTGTGTGTGTGTGTGTGTGTGTAGAGAGAGAGAGAGAGGAGAGGAGAGAGAGAAGTTAAGCTTTTCATCCATTGGAGGTTAAAGTAGGATCAGATTTATTAGCAAAAGGAAGCAGAGGAATGGACAATTCACAAGGAAAAGGAAACATCTGTGCTAGTTGATAAAACTAGACTTTGGAGGTATAAGCATCACTGCAAGCCTCTAAAGGTTTTCTCAGAAATATGTCTTGCTCTCTTAAAAAAAGTATGATCTCTCTCTCTCTCTCTCTCTCTCTGTCCCACATACGTACATTAGGATTGCAAACTAAGAAAGATAGTCTGAATTGGTTGGTCTTCTCCCATCCATCCAAACACTCAGTGGCACCAAAGAAATAAGCTAAAAAATATCATAAGACACACGTGCCACTTAACTACAATAGTCTCTATGTGGTTTACAGTGGTACCTCGGGTTAAGAACTTAATTCGTTCTGGAGGTCCGTTCTTAACCTGAAACGGTTCTTAACCTGAAGCACCACTTTAGCTAATGGGGCCTCCCGCTGCTGCCGCACGCTTTCTATTCTCATCCTGAAGCAAAGTTCTTAACCCGAGGTACTATTTCTGGGTTAGCGGGGTCTGTAACCTGAAGCGTCTGTAACCCAAGGTACCACTGTACAAGAGATACAATGCAAAACGGTAAAAATCGGTTAAAACACTAAAATCAGATGTGTCACTAGAAAACGTACTCTGCTATTCTGTGAGAGCCCAGATATGGGGAAAACAAATTTGGACTATGGAAACGTCAAGAAAAGCAGACATAGCAAAGGCACGTGTATCACAGAACCACACAACCGGCACTTGGCAAAATCAAAGTACCGTGCTATAATGATGTGCCTCTTTAATTTCAAGAGCCAGAAACATCTTTCAGTGATAATTAAAATATAGGTGTTAAAAATGGACTCATAAAGTAGTGGTGTAGAGAGTGGTGGACACAATGTGGTGGGGATGTGCACGTGGGAAAAGCACAAAGTGCCCTGTACTATGGAAAGTCAATTGTTACTCCGCTTGCAGTTCACAGAAAGGCAGCAATTAGATAGCACTATGAGCCCATTGGGAAGCAACCTAAGAGTGACCCACACAAACTGTGCCAAATGCACTGTTAGCCTAAAGGAAACCACATGGATGATTTGGTGTGTTGGGAAGAAAACAGGCTTTCAAGCTCACCTGATGGTTTATGGGAGATTTTTTCTTCTTCTGGATTTCAAATACTGCAAAGAGAACTAGAGTATATAAGCAGAACTGATGCAAGCTCTCCCTTCCCACGTGGAACTATTCTCAGGCCCTCTAGCACAAGCATGGCCTAAAATAGTTTATGAAAGTAACATCATGCTTTGATTTTTCTTAAGCACGAGGGCAAAGAAACATACTATCCTCAGGCTCTGAAGTTTGGCAGTAGAAGAAAGATTTTTGTTTGAACCAAACATGGAGCTGATTAGCTTTCTTTCCCATGCTTCTTCCCTCATAGGTGGCTCTCAAACCTGGATTACGAACCGGGATTCAGCCAACAAGCCTTTGATGCTCTGGCGGAGAGATCTCAAGCAGGGGAGAAAACCTTCAAGTTGTGCTCTCTCCTTATGGGCTCCATCCCTTTGGAAAGGAGAAGCCACTATGACCCTTCCACTGGGCGTTTGCACGGTTTGATGGACTTTGGTGCTGGTAAATATGATGCGGATGAGGTTTCGGCAGCCGGAGAAGCCCTCCTGTTTGTGGCTGTTGGATTCCAAGGCCGGTGGATAGTGCCTGTTGGCTACTTCCTCCTTGCCACCCTTAGAGGGGACATACAAGCCCAGCTCCTATGCCACTGTATCCTCAAACTGTACGACATTGGCGTGCAGGTGGTCTCTGTGACGTCTGATGCCACAGCTCCCAATATCGAGACAGCCAGGCGGCTGGGAGTGGTGGTGGACGGCCTCTTTGTCAAGTCCACATTTTTCCATCCAGCTACTCCTACTCTGGAAATAGCATACTACTTCGATCCCAGCCATTTGTTGACGCTGATCCACCGCTTGCTGCAAGCCGCCGGCAGCCTCCAGGTGAGCGTCAAGGCGGTCTGCTGGGATTACCTCCTGCATCTCGGGGCTCTGCGGGAAGAAGTGGTGCTCCGGGCGGCATGCCAGGCCGGAGCGATCAGCCCGCAGGAACAGCAGGTGTGGGGAAATGGGGCCACGCAGTTGTTCAGCGAGGGCACGGTTCAGGCCTTGCATTTTGCAGCGAGGCTCGGCCTGCCTCAATTTCAGGGTCATGAAGCCACCGCCCACTTTATCGGGCTGCTGAGTGCCATTTTTGACGCGTGCAGCAGCTGCAGCATCTATGGGAAAGGTTTCAAGGCACCCCTCTCCCGCGCTAGTGCCAGCGCCCTCAACAACCTCTGCAACGAGTATGAGAACCTGCTTCGCAAACTCCGCACGGCCACCGGGGAGCTGGTAGGGCTGAGCAGGCATCGATGGGGCTTCATTGGCTTCCTGGTGAACCTGCGCAGCTTTCAGTGGCTGGCGCAGACCCATCTACAGGCAGAAGACGAGCCCACTACTTCTTTGATGTCCTGTTGGTGGAGCCTGGACCCTCTGGAGTGGTGCAGGGGAGCCATACAGCAAGCCCGTGGGCACAAAGGTGTTGGCCCCGCATGGACCTTCCAGCAGGCATACAGGCTTGTCTTGAACAGAGCTCTTTCTGGTCTGGGCCTCGACCCACCAAACCTGCTTGACATATCCTTACGCAGAAGAACTAACCTCCAGTTGCAGGCTTCTTGGCCTCTGGCTCGCGGGCAGATCTGGCACTGGCCTCGGGGCACTGGGCCTCCACGAGAGACACAGGGCATAGCCCCAGCCTTTCTGGCCGAGTTGGAGGAAGACGCCATTGCCTGCATTTCCTGCGTTGTTTTGGGGAAGCTGCTGCCCCTCCTCTCCTGCGCTGAATGCCGCGCTGCCCTCTTGTGCCCTTGTAAGGGTGTGCCTGGGGGCAGTGCCCTGCTGTGCGTGGAGAGCAAGGGAAGAAAGTACCTCCCAGCAGAGTCCGTACAAAAGGTGATCCGCCGAGCAAAGCAGGTTGTTGGCCTGCCTTCCTTGTTCCTTGGAGACTCCAGCCACCGCGGGTTCTTGGCGCGGCAGCTGGCCATCTTGGCAGATGTGAGTGAGGAGCCCAGTCTATTCTCATCCCTGGGCAACCACCTCTTTGAGAGCAACGCTGTGGTTTCCAACCATTACGTCACTCTGCTGCAGGAGCTTGTGCGAACCTTCTTGGAACTGTGGCTTGAGGCAGGGCAAGGGCAGTTGTCCATGCCACCGACTCATGAATGTAGCAGCTCTTTGAAAGTGGCTAATGGTAAGCACAAGACAGGGAATGCGAATGGCCCCAGCAGGGACTGGCCTCAGCAAACGCGTGGACTTATGGAATGGTACATGCCTATTTGAAGGTGGTGGGAAGCTGAATGCTTATGTTTACATGGCCTTGTAAGAGAAGTGGTAGCTTATGATATGCTGCAAGCTGGTAGAAAACTACGAGACTGCTTTGCACTTGGCTTTTTTTATTGGAGCGGACACAGGCAGGGAGGTCCATGCGGAACTGACATGCAGGAAGTTCATTCTAACTTTTCACATGAAAGTGACGTGTGTGTGTGCCTTTGAGAAGCATTTTGGCAGGGCTTACAGCATGGGGATCACAGTATTGTAGAATTGGAAGAGACCCCAAGGATCATCTAGTCCAATCCCCCGCAGTGCAGGAATATTGGTATCCTATTTACATTGGCAAAGCTGGTCCATATAAAGTTGTTTCCCCGAGTGGATATTGGAACTTCGCTTACGGACTTATCATGGCTTCCTTTGTTGTGCAGTCCCAGCTCTGGAGTTTTAAGAACCATATGCCTTTTTTCCAACTAGTCCCCCCAATTGGGACTTCCCCCCTCCCCCATCGCTTTTGTTACCAACCCCACTCTGGTCTGTAGAAGCAAAGCTGAGGCAGCAGCTCAGATTAGAACGTAACTCTTGACCTTTGGCTATCAAGAAGCAAAGTCCAGCACCAAGTGGCTGAAGCCTTGGGCCAGGTCAATAAACAGCACAGGAATGAGAGCGATTACTTGTTGCAACAGCTGCACTCCATATTTCAACAGACTTGCACCTGTTGCAAAACTTCAACCCCGAGGCAAAGCATGTTTGCTACATAAAAGACACCAACTACAGCAACTGATCTTTGCAACTTCTTGCAAGATTGCTGAGGACCCGACCCAAAGTGGTCCACTGCCTAACAGTGGTGCTCTGTAAAAATAGCTCCATGGGGCATGTGAAGAAGTGAGGCGAAGGCAGTTCTTAGCAGTCAGTCTATTATAGGCTGAAATGCTATGCCGTTCGTCCTGTGCAAACCTTCCTTGGGTGGTTCTGAACACCACTAGCACCTCCTCTCACATCTATCCTGATGTAGCACAGGAGCCCCACATGTATAGTTGATGTACATCTGTTACCACAAACATAATGCCTATTTGAGTGCTTTCCATCTAATCAATGTGACTATACTGAAGGATACTATGGTTTGTCCTGTAACAGTAATATCAGATCCTAGTTGCGCTTCTTAAGAGCATAGTTTTCAATACCTTGCTTCCATACAAAGTCAGTACTGCAAACTATCAACAGATTCAGCAGTTGGGATAGGAGCTTATGTAATATAGTTGCTAGACAGGTAGTTGGGGTGCAATTGAGATGGCTAGTTTGACTCTTGGCTTCTAACTATCCTTTAATGTTCGTTTTTAGAGCAACTGCTACTTATTCAGCTGGCAGACAATAGGCTTGTTGGAATCGCTGCACAGAAGAGGAAAGGAGTTTGGGTGCTTTGCATTTTACGGGGCGTTTTCCACCTTCTATTCCATTATAACACACAGGATTCAGAAAATTTTATATACCTTTATTAGAAAAAAAAATCATCACCATAATTCTAGATGTTTAAAAGGAAGCATTGGTTACAATAAGAGTGTCCTCAGAAAGTTCCAGATTGTTTTCATGGTTTTTGACGCAAGTTGGAGGCCACTGATTTGGTGACCTCTGGAGAAAATGCTTGCAGGGTGCACACCTTAAGGGGGAAGGGAGGAAGCAATCATGAAATGACTTTCTCAACATAATTAGCAGGATATAGTCCAACCTGACCGGTCTGAAGCCGGCCTTTGCACCAGCCCTGTTCGTCCTCTTCACTGATCTTCATGAGCTCTTCACCTAGAGGAAGAAAAATCTCAGAATGAATAACAAGGCAAGGTTTCATTGGTTTAGATATTCACTAAAATGATATGAGACTTGTTTCTTTTCCCTTCTGGTTTCCAGAGATGCTGGCAATGCACACATATGGAAGTGAAGCTAAGGTTGAGATACCATGCACACTTATTTAATAACAATTCCACTGAAATCTGTGTGTCTCACTTCCAAACGAGTTTAGGGTCAGTGTTAGCCTTCATTCTCCATACAACTATATTATAGTGGCCTACTGGAACAAAGCCATTATTGTACAGAGAAGCACCTTAAAAGCTCTTGGGCATTAGCAGCCAGAAGATGCTTCCTAGACAGTGATACCCTCTCCAGCTGCCCATGTCATCTCAACTGACTCATGCTGAATGGTCAACTATCATGCAAAATTCACACATTAGTGAAGTTAAAGACCACCTGAAAGGGGAGTAACCATCCAGAGAATGCCTTTTTAAAAAACGCATCGGCACTTGCTCCAACTTTCTATTTAAGGAGAACAATTTAAAATATCATTTCCAGAAACAAAAGGAAAATAGTGCATCAGTTCAACCGACTCAGTGAAATAACAAATTGTCTGCATTAACTATACAATTGCATGTTATTGAAGTATTTAGATGGGGAAGATGCACCAATAGGTTTTAAAAAGAGGAGTGACCCAGTTCCCATAAGCCCTTGGGTATACACTACGACCCTGGCAAAGCAAAAAGAAAAACTCATGAATTGTTCTTTGACAGAGATCAATAAATTCAGCTCACATGCAGTAAGCTAGTAGACAAACCACAGCAAACCAAGTATAGAAAGCTCAGCGTCCCTATCTTCATAGACATATTTTTTAACTTTTTATGCTTTTACTGCTGTAAACTGCTTTGATGTAGTGGTATACAACTATTTTATAAATAAATAAGACAACATGACAGGCAGAAGCAAACCAGGATGGTGCCTGGAAGGATTTTTCACAAACGATAAACCAAAAAGCAGTTTGGATCTACTTCTTGTACTTATTTCATGCTACAGATATTCTTGTAGTACTCCTGTTTTAATTAGTTACTACAGGCAGATCAAGCAAAGTAAGTTGGTACTAGAATATTTAATAATGATAACTCAGCAATGCATGTTTCATGCAAACCCAAGTGCTGGGTTTTGAAAGATTTTAGTACCTGTAAAAAAGAAAAACAATCACATTTCTACAAATACGTTTTTAAAGCATGAATGAAATCCCGAAGATCCAGATGGCCCCTATTCCTATGTGCTTCCCAGTAGATCAGGCTGGTGGATATAAAAACTATTTTAGTGTGGAATCGGATGATCACTAACCATAAGGCATCTATTGATTGTGTTGTGGCTCTGGCCATGTGGCAAGCCACTAGCCCCAGAGCAAGGCTAGCATTACCATGCACACAACCATCCAGAGAAACAGGTGTGTGATAACGTTCATTTTATGTCACTGGTGACAATCCATCTGGGCTGGCATATAGTGCTGAAAGTTTATGTTAAATCACTGCTCAGTTCCAGCATTTGCCAGCTTCTCGTGAAAGACTCCTGCTCCCAAGTTCCCCTTTATGTGTTATTTCTCAATGTGCAGCTCTGCTTTCACCGCCACTGAGCAAGGGAACACAGTCCTGGTATATTGAAGCATTTTTGGCCATTTGGCATGGAAAATAAATGGAACACAAATGGCCAGGCCCAGCTACGTACAGGAAGTCTCGGGTATAGCAGCATCTCTTATTGCCAAGCATTGGAGATCCCTGGATGCTAACTCAGCAGCGGAATATTCAAGCGTGGAACTTGGCGCTAATGGAAAAAATGACTCACGAGTTACATGCCAGAAGAAATGAACAACCAACCAACAAGTTTTATGGTTATCTGGTCATGTTTTATTTCAGATATTGAGACAAAAGAACAAGATTTCTGCCCACCTGGAACGCAAAGACTTCTATGGAAAGACAATTTGGGATGAGAATTGCTCACATCAGATTAGGGGAATCTAGGGAGGGTAGGACTCTTTCTTCCCTATCTTCTGCCACTATATTCCTGTATCTACAAAACTTAATAAAAACATTTTTAAAGAAGGAATAGCAACTTGAAGCAATTGCCATCTTCCTTCAGAGTCTCATACCACAGAGCCCACATTGGGAGCAAGTCCATGCCTTTTCCTGTCCCTTTGGAAGAACTTTGAAGTAATTTATCTATCCTCCGTCTTTCCCAGTAGTTAAAAAGTGCCCCATTGGTTCTTTCTCTCTCTGCAATTTCTTAGCATGCTGCTGACCCCTTTCATAAATGGCTTGGTTTATTATAGGATTCTCTCAGAAAACTCAAGTGTTTGGCAAATGGCGTCCTGGAGCCATCCAGGTCCTACTGGAAAATTTCCATCCATACCGCAAAAGCACACTAGCAAGCAAGTTAGAAGATTAGTGCATTTGTACCTGCTTTAAAGCTCAGCTCATCAGCCTCTTGTCCTGCGTAATCATACAGTGCTCGCACCCGCACGCCTGGTACCTTTATGTCGTCCTCATGCCCATTGACTTCTGGGCGCTTCTTGGGAGTGTCCTCATCCGACCACTCTGAGATTTCTTCTTTCCCTCCACTGTGCAAGGGGATAGGGGAAGAGGAAGAATGGGAAAGAAAGGTCATTTAAAACCCAAAGCTCCTTCTTTATTTAAAGCGTCCCATTTCCAAATCATGCATCTTTCTAGGAGAAGAACAAATAAGAGGAAGATGCAAAACATGGAAGGCAAAGAAGTCACCATTAGCCGGGGGGGAGTGGGGGGGAGAGAAAGAACGAGAATGAGCAGAATAGCAGGTCTTCAAAAACACAATCTTTCCAGTAACCTTGACCAGTTCTGGAAATAACTACATTAAAAGCCCTAGGTGACTACAATCAGGGTAGAGAGAAGGTGGTCTATTTGAAGAAAGCTAAAAAGGTGTCTATTTGGGAGAAAATGAAAAAGAGTGTGCTAACACTGCCCATCTCCTTAACTAGAAAGTATTAAGAAGCTACAGCAAAGGAGAAGCAAGGAAACAGGTACCCTAAGTAGTCTTAAGTTTCATACTAACTTCATACAGGCCGAGGCCTTCAGGGTATCATAGAAGTGACTGTTTTGCTCCTCCTGGTATGAATACCTGTGGATTGGCAAACAAGCCTTTTTAAATCGAGAAAAGGGCAAGGTTATGCTGCAGAATAGCTACTGCCGGTGATATTCGTGTTAACAAAAGCAGACTCTACATTGCAGTAAAGGTTAAGATAGGAATTCATTATTTCCTGTACTTCTCTTGTCTTTTCCTTCTTTGTAATCTTGTGCCAACAGCTACTGGACCAGCATGCTCAGTATGCCATCTGGTCGGGTTTTGAATGCAAAGCACCCAGCTACGAAAGCCAGAATGTTTGCTATCTACTAACTTCACTGTAGAACTAACATGAACTGTGTTTGAGTAAGAAGGGCCTGGCTAGCTGACATCTCTCTTCATAGTGAACAGATGCAAATCAAGAATCCAGAACTGCCTTTGTTGCAGCTGGAGGAATAGTCTTCTTTCCCTGAGATCAGCAACAGCTGGAGAGGAAAATCCTGCCAGCGTCCTCACTCTGAGACTAATGGGTGGAACAAGCAGAGGCAGAGCTACATCAGGGCGGGACAGAGGAGAGGCACAGTGCCAGTCATAGCTTCTGCCCTTCCAGCAGGCCTAACAACAGCCCTGCATTCTATTAGACTATGACCTTTATCTCAAAATTTGCAAGGGCCTAGCCTCTGTATGCTCTTGTTAATGGGAATTCATATTCTCAAAGGGAAGCAGAAGGTATTGCTATACCCATTTTTGGTGAGTCAGCCATCCTGCAATAACATTGCCCTCTCTGCTTTTGAACCCAAGTGTTACAGGTTGCAACTTGCCTTTGCTTTGTCGGTGTAGGGGTCTGTTTCACACCATCACCTGCAGGCACAATGCTAGTCAAAGTCACATCTTCACTGCTTTTCCCACTTTTTTCCTTCTTACTGATTGGCCTCTGTGTCTCCAAAGACCATTCCTAGAGGGGAGAAAGTTATCAGTCCCTAGTTCCAAAAATATTTCAGAAGATTAATTGAATGCTTCCTCTCCCCCCCCCCAATCCAACACAGACAATGGACATCCTTTATGTGGAGGGGGGCTTCTTGCTTATTTGCAGAACAAGGTCCCAGGTTTGATCCCAGACAACTCCACTAAAAATGAATCAGGTTACACCCTGTAGTGCAGTGTAGTCAATATTTGGTTAGATTGACAAATACTCTGGGCTGGTAGCTTTGCATGTTCCTATCATGCCAGGTATATTACACATCTCATTTCTATTCCATAGAGAAATAGTGGCGAGTGCTAATTTCAGCAGGATGATACAAGACACGACTTACTTTACAACCTAAAGGGGGCAAGTTCCCTAGTATTTCCCACCAGAGAGAGATGGCTTACCTCAAACTGAGGCCAGTTCATAGCCATTCCTGGTCCATGGGTTTGACGCCACCACTTCAGGTCCTCTTGGTCATCTGCAGCCATTATTCCCTGATACAAATCCCGGTAAAGTGCATGGAAGCTGCAGGCACGAAGAAACACACAACAAGCATAAGGGACTCTGTTTGGAAAGCTACATAGGCATGTAGGAAAGGACAAACAGAAATATGTTCCTATAGTACCAGGAGATGTAACCTTTCAAGGGGGAAAAAACCTTAAATAGTTCTCATCCCACAGGATGCAATAAGGGCAGAGAAACCCTCCTTTACACACACACACACACACACACACACACACACACCTATCATTGGTAGACAGGTTCAGATGGTTGTGCAGATCCAGGAACATCTCTTTGAAGAAGCACAGCCGTTTGCATTCTGCTTCCTGACAGCCCTCAAAGACCTGTTCCATGTCCTCCATATACCGAGGGTTGTAGCGATTGAGCTCATCCAGCATCTTCTCATACTGATCCTTGCACTGCAGGGAACCAAAACAAAACATTTGTGAGCTGTCGACTGCCTATAATGCTCAGGAGTATTGGGACCAAGGTGGGACCCATGTTTCTTGCTGGTTACTCTCTTAGTTTCACCAGTTGAATGAGAGTATAGTAATTGACTTATACAGCTCTCTTCCATGGGCACCATTCAGTTTAGGGGCTCAACAGGGCCTTGATGCTTTCTGAGTTCTCTGTCTGGTTAGGGGGCAGCAAACATTGCATCCAAGGGCAATGGCCCATCTGCTTAAAGGACTATCCATTGAAGCACTGGGCTGCCTCTCCACCCACAGAATTTACCGTATTTTTCGTCCCATAGGACGCTCCGTCCCATAGGACGCACCTAGTTTTTTTGGGGGGAAATAAAGGGAATTTTCCCCCTTTATTTCCCCCCCAAAACCAGGTCGGGGAAACCGAACCAGGTCGAGGAACAGTGGGATGGCAGCGCTGCGCCTCCTTGCTGTCCCCCAAGCTTGTGGGGCTGGCTGATGTCTGTCTGGCGCGCAGGGCGCTCTGCTTCAGGACGCCCTGCGCGCCGGGCAGCAGGCTGCTATCCGCAGCGTAGGGACCTCCCGCAGGGCTGCCTAGGCTGCGGATGTGTTCCCGAAGCGGCGGGTGCTCTGCTTTCAGCGCGCCCGGCGCTCCGGGAAGCAGGCTGCTGTCCACAGCCTAGACAGCCCTGCGGGACCTCCCGCAGGGCTGCCTAGGCTGCGGATGTCTTCCTGAAGCCTGGAGAGCGAGAGGGGTCGGTGCGCACCGACCCCTCTCGCTCTCCAAGCTTCAGCGAAAGCCTGCATTCGCCCCATAGGACGCACCCAGATTTCCCCTTCATTTTTGGAGGGGAAAAAGTACGTCCTATGGGGCGAAAAATATGGTAGTCAGTGACAAAGATCCACAATCAAGCTTGTTTCTTTTATTTAATTTTTTAAACTGCCATGCCACTTTTCTGGTTGGTTACCTAACAAAGCAGTTTACAAACAGTAAAATGCTTTTCAAAACAAAACAATTATGCAACTATAAAATCATATTGTATTCAAATATGAAATAAGACAAAACCAGCAACTGCTGCCATCACCTTTCAATCTCTAAAGGTCATTCTAAAAAAGCTTTGAAAAGTCTTCTTAAGAGAGATCTGTGACTGAGTTTGCCTAACTACTCCCTGGCACTGTTCCACAGGCAGGTGGACCACCACAGAAAAGGCCCTGATTTTTGTTTCTGCTTTTAGGACTCTCCCTCATCTTAAGAGAGTCAATGGCCAAAGTACCACCTTCCAACATTACCTACCTTCTCTGCTTCTTGAGCACACTTCTCGACACGCTCCTGCAGTTTACGCATCTGCTCCTGTGATACAGAGGAATCGGCTTTGGCATGATTCTCGCGTGTCTGTGCCGTCTTTTCCTCCTTACGAGAACTATGGTAATTCTTTTTCGAAGTTTCCACCTAACAGAGATACCATATGGAATAATGTATCAGCAGTGTTATTTCCGATCACATACAGAGACAAGCAGCTGTATTCAAGAGGAAGTGGCAGGAAAACAGCAAAGTACAATTTACATCTCAACACTGCCTAACCTATGACCAGCAACATGAGGCTGGACAATAGGCTGACTGAGCTGTTTTGCCATCTGTTAAGTCCCAGACCATAAAGCTGATTAATCGAATAATTCCAAGGGTGCCTATTGAGATGTTTGATAGTCTGTTTATTACCCCATCTCCTGCTTGCAACTTCTTACTCACATCCTTCAATTTTTTCACCCAGGGCTTCTGGGCCTTGCGGAACCCATCCTCTGCTTCCTTTGTCTCCTTGAAGCCACCAATCATCTGTTTATGGTAGGCTTCCTTCTGCCAGGCCTTAATCTTGTCCGAGTCTTCAGCAGCCAGGCGGTTCCGTACTTCCAGATGGATCTCACTAAGTTTGTCTGCAGCTGTCAGGAATGCATGCCAGGCTTTTTCCAGTGTGCCATACTGAGGGCCTAGATGAACCAACAAAGATGACATGGCAACGTAATTATGCAGGTACAGAAGGAATCAGGTTTGGAAGCCAGGCTTTGTTTGTTACCAAAGTCATCTATCTCAAAAGTACATTTACTGCTCAAAAAGAAAGAGCTGCGTGGGAGGAACACATATTGATAGTAGTGTGAGACAGTGCATTTGCTGCCTACAGAAAGTTTGCTGAGCTCAACCCTAGGTAACTGCAACTAGAGTGTGTGCCAACAAACTTCTGCTCAGTCTCTGTTGCATAAAGACTTGATTGACTTCCCATCTTTATAATCCAAGAAAGGATCATCCAGAGTTGTACTGGCAGTCCTCCAATCTGCACCCAAGTCTCTCATCGCCTACTTGTTACCATCACACATAGCCTTCCCAGTACACTGCGCCAGGTTACTTTTTGCTCCTCCTACAAGTCTTTCTGTTGACCAGATTCTGTGGGCTGATGAATTCTTCTGACCTGTGTTGCACTTAGCACTCAATTAATGGGACAGTAGCTGAAAGCCATGAAAGTGGAATTGTCTTCCCCTCAAAATTTATCCTATAGACGAGGGATGGGGAATCGTTTTGGCCCAGTAGGTTATCCATGCCCCCACTCTGCAAGCCAACTTTGACTGGTGGGTGGATCAACCCGTCTGTGACACAGCAGCCCCACTCACCTGTCAAAGTATCTTGTGAACCACAGCACAAGGGGTGTTGCCAACCCTATGCTTGGCAAAGTACCGAGTTTAAGGCTTGCAATGTTGCCTCCTTCAGGGATCAGCTACATGGGTCATGCAGACACTCAAGCAGGTTTGAACTCAAGTGTCCAACAGCTAAAGGGAAGTGACTTCAATCATGCTTTCTGCAGATATCACCTGCATGATTGAGTTCTCCACAGAGAACTTGGTCCCACAGCTGATCCAGTTGTGTCTCTATCTGCCCCACACCTGATGTCACATATGGGGGCAGGTGGGTGTGGTTTGGGGAACATGACCTCGAGGACCAAATCTGGCCAGTGGGCTGCAGAGACCTCACCCCTGCCATAGACTTTCTGAGGGCATTCCCACAAAACTAAAACCCTTCATCAGCTTTACTTGTTTTAACAAAGCCATTTCTTGTATAATTAATTTGAGCAGATTCCTCCATAACAACAGTAGTAGAAAATGGAACAAATAACACATTTATTTTCTTTTATTTAAAAAAATATTTTAACCACACAATAACCCAACAAATAAATAGTTAAATATTTGCTGGGTAGGTAAATAAAAAGGGGGAAATATAGAGCATACCAGCCAGATGTCAATTAGACTATGTTATGTCTTTAATACTAGAAAAATGTTTATACAGACACTTAGAAGAACAAACATGAAAACCAAAAAGTTTTCCCATAATACACTTCAAACTAAATCTAATCCTTTACTATATCCTTGCTACATCTGGAAAGGTTTCTGTCCTCTCTCTCCCCTTGTTATTTTTTAAAAAACAAAAAACATCCTTAAACGTTCTTCACTCCTCTCCAAATTTATTAACTTTTTGTTTTCCCTGCCTAACCCCAAGATACGATGTTAGCTTGCTCGTGGTTGCCAGGTCAGCACCTCTATTTCATTAACTCTTAGCTGAGGGGGCAAGCCAACTCAAAGTGTTGGAGTTTCCCTCCTCCTCCTCCCTAAAGAGACAGGAGTTCCATCTTGAGTGATGTGCTTTCTGTACTGTACCCTTCTCCACAGCAGTCCTCCATTTGCGGGACCAGTCTGTTAGCTGCTGTGCATAGCTCTTCTCAATTTTGGCTCTCTCCTGGAAGCAGGAGACAAGGTCGTTACACAGCCGGCTGCCATCATCCACCCGCTTCACTGTCCGCTTGTAGTTGCCAGGCTGAAATTAGATTAACACCATCAGTCATTCTTGCACACATCTCAGATATATCTTTAGGCAGAACAGGCAAGCCTTTTGAAGGCTTCTGAGCTCTAGGTTCACTCCCATCCCAGGACCCCACCCAAATTCTCAGCTGGAGCAAGCAAGGCGGGGCAGTAACTGGCTTGTCTGTTATGGACACATTCCAGGGACTATTATTATTATTATTATTATTCAGCACTAAGGATCGTGGAACCATTTAAAAAAGGGGCATCCAATGACAACTTGTCCTGGGCTTGCTGTCAGTACTTCTCTGCCAGGAGGTACTGAAACCAAGGTTGATTTAGTATTTCTTAGCACATCCTATGTGACTCTAGACAAAGGGGAACCCTTTTATTTCCATCTTGCCCTCTCTTACCTCCCAGAAACTGCCACTGGGTGCCTCCCCACCAGTATCATCTTCTGATGACATCACTCTGGTTTCCTTGCAGCAGAGAATTTTTGCAGATTTTGGAGCAGCTGGGAAGAAAAGCAAAATAACTGTATATGTAGCAGAACATGGCAATTCCAATGAGACACTGAAAAGCAGAGAGTCATCCAAACCCAAACAGGCTAGCCCCATTATATAGGAATGTTGGTCACTATCTACAGGGACAAGAATGAGGTAGGCCTTCTGGTTCCTTGTGGGGGAATCTTCACATACAAGTACCACTAGTAGCACAAAGTACTTACAGGACAAGGCTTTTCCGTAATGCTGGGAGGAGTTGGGTTAGGGCCAGACTGGGACATGCCCAAGTGTACAAAGGCACATTCACCCCAGCTGCCTACTTTTCCAATTCAGTTCACAGTCAGGAGTGTGGGAGGCATCTCTGGTAAGGGATCTCTCTCCCAGGGGAGAAATCTGGAAGCTGCTCCTGCAACAGCTGAATCCACTGAGGAACACTGTATATAGATTTTTAAGGGACCAGATGTGTCATTTCAGTACATCCAAGCCCCTATGTAATATTCAGAATTACTACATTGCCTACAAAAAGCTAATGTCATCAGTCAATCTCCAAGGTCCTGCAGACTGCCTTGATTCTTATGGTATTATCAAAGGACTTTTGTTTGTTCCCTTTCTGGAAGGAAAAGAACTTACCAAGCTGTTTAACAGAACAAAATAATATTGTCAGCGCTTCAGCTCTTGGGTTTAAGTAGACCATAGTTATATCATACCACCACAAGAGTGGCTACACTGTAGTGCATTTGCTCACTTTTCACCCTAGCAGCCGCCTCCAGTGGCAGACTTTGGGCTCTCAAATTTTAGTGGCACCTGGCACCCCCACCTCTTGTGCTCTGTCCTATAGCATTGTTCTGGCGCACTGGTCATGCTACCCTAAAACCACCTCCTCGGTCTCACTTTCCTAGATATTCACTCGACAATATACACATGCTTATCTAGTCACTACAATTCTAGTAAGACTGTGTCAGTGGTCTCAGCTGGCATGCATGTAATGTATACAGCAAAAATAGAGGTTCCCAGGCACCCTCCACAGCCTGTTTTGGTGACAGGAGGATTCCATTATCATAGCTCATTATAAAGGTTAGCTCATGGTTAATGACTGATGGACATATTTGACTGTTGCTCATTGCCTCTTGCACATTCCTTGCTATAAAAAGCTCCCCCACACCCTAGAAAGGTATCCAACTTGCTCCCATGGCAAGGCAGAGCTCCCATGGCACAAAGGACTGGGTTTCATCCTCCCTTCAAACGCCTGTGGCAATAGTTTCCATGATACTGAATGCTCAGAGAGATCCTTAAGAGAAAAACTGGCACCCAAACAGAAGGAGATTAAGCCACTGCTATGCTATGTTGCCACATCGGCCCTCTCCTGTTACGTGGGAAAGCGTTTTTAAAATGCAGGCTCCTGGTTTAGGTACTGAAAACTCGTAACAGCCCTAGCTCACCTGACCACCAAGGAAGTTAAATCAGCTACCAAGCAAGCCCAAAGACTCCGTCCCAACAAACTAAGCTCACTTTCCCTCACACACGTTTTAAGAGTCCCAGTTTCGTTACAGATTTACATACCCAAACACAAGGCTGCCAGATACCAAGGGATGGAAGGGACGTCTCTAGGTTCTTAAAGTGCTTGATTAGTACACTGGAAAAAGTGGAGTCAACACAGCTTTGTAGCCAATTCTCACTGGCCTAACTCAAATACAGCTACTGCATCTGACAACTAAGAAAACCCTCTCACCCAGAGTGTACTTCTCAATTTCAGCAGAATCTAGGGAGGGGCACCCTCAAATATAGCAACAGGAGCAGCTACCCCCTGCAATCCAAGGTGTCAGTCTCTAGCAAATATACTGGAAATATGCCAAGTCCTACTGTAAAAAGATATTACCCCAGAGTTTAGAAGTATCAGGGTGGTATGAAAAGGCCCGGTCAGGACAGCTGTACAAAGCAACAGCTCCTCACCAACCGGAAGGAGCCAACACAAACATGGATCTCCTGTCCAGGCAGCACTGGCCCACAGCCCAGCTCTCCCACCTGCCCCAATCTGCCTGACTTCCTCCTCTGGGCATCCTACAGCCAAGATAAAAATGATGCTTATTTATGGTTTTCAAAGATGCATCTCATTTTTAAATAAAAACAACACTCATTGAACAATAAATATCCTTTGGACAATCAAAATTCAGCTTCCACATAATTTGAGTCAACAAGTGATTTCTTCTATCTGAAAGGCTAGGAAATGAAGTTTACCCAGCTGGATTTGCTCCGACTGGGCCCCAAGCAATGCTGCAAACTTCTGCAGGCAGAATGTATATTGACTTATGCACAACACCATGTGGGGATGCTCATACAGGGACCACTTAAGTTATTAAACACATCAACACAACTGCTGATTCCTTGCGAGCTAAACTAGGGAAAGCCCAGAGTGTAATAATTAAGAAGTCAAGTTACTGTAGGAGTGACCTATGGGGGTCATTTTGTTTTTACTTTAAGAACTTGTTTGGGAAAGGTTAACTCCTCTACAGTGGATTGAGTTTCTCTAACTATAGTAATTATGCCCCTCCAACACCCTCCTCCCTCTCAAATTGTAAGCACTTTCTCTCCGTCTGTGAGCTTCTTTTGTTTTTTGAACATACAAACTCTAGGTCCAAGGCTACCATTCTGTAACACCAAAGTCACAAGAAACATAGTCCCGAATCTGCAGCTCAGGGGTTATTTAAATGACTTTAAGATGCCAAATCAAACAAGTTAAAGCATCTAGTTCTTCAGTTTCTAGAGTGAAAGCTGAGAATGTTTGTGTTGGGAGGCAAACACAGAACAAGCCAGAATTTAAAGGGGGGGGGGGAATTCCTCATTACTTGAATTATTTGACCTATAGCTTTGAAACATATGGACTGCTGTCATCACATGCCCACACATTCCAGGAAGCCTGGCTATAAATTATCCACCTGTATAGGTTTACTGAAAACAGAACCTCTCCCTGTGCACCACCCTTCACCCAGGTGGTGCCTGGGCACTTGAGTGGAAGTTTAAGAAAAGTGCAACCATCTGAAGCTTTTCCACCAACAGGACCACTCGGTGCCTGTGTGGTTGGCAGCAGCACACACCAGCAGACAAGCTGCCCATGGGGTATCCAACCTATTGTGACCAGATAAAAGCTAATGTATTTTATTACCCTATGTTGCATCCAAACATGCAGCACATCAGCAAGTAGAGGTAATCTTTACGGGACTTGGGGCTCAAAGTCCAATGAGGTTTGTCAACTGGGATAATCTCATGTTCCAGTGTTTCCAAACTGGAGTAAGGGATCCAGCCTGACATGGTTCTACTTAGGACCTGCAGGACCCTCTACCTACTCATTACTTACTTTCTCTTCATACTTCAGGAATATTTTCTCAATCACTCCATTGAAACCACATTACCCACAGTCATTATTATACTATTAATATTAATTATTCTGCAAATAAACAAGAATAAAGCCAGCTTTCAGTAGACCTCTGGGAAAGTGGATTTCAAGACAAGAAACCTTTCCAGGTCCCCGCTGTGTTCTCTATCTTCCCTGCCACCTTGTGTCACAAGAAGACCTGCTTACAATACTAGCCAGGATGTGAGCACAAGTGACTGAGCAACAGCCACCAAGAGCTAATGACAAACTTTGTGGTGAGGAGCAGAGGCTGTTCTGTATCAACTTCAATTATAAATAATCTTAGTTTAGATTTTACAATGTACTATTGAGACTTAATATAATATAATCAAACAAACCAACAAAAGTACATTGCATGCAATACAAATCAGACACCAATAACAAAGAAAACAAAAAGCAAGAAACATGTCATCATTCAGTAAAGAAACAAGCAAAGCAACAGGAAATACCTGTACTGCTTAGATTAAATTTAAGATTTGCATTGCCGCCACCTGTAGTTAATCCATTGGGCCTTTAAGATGACACATAAAGAAACACTAGTACTCACATTTTTGGAGTGACCCAAAGTTCACTTTGTGGGCTGCAGCTATGGCACGGTAAAGCTTTTTAAACACAGTATTCTTTTTGAAGAGGAGCTTGATAAGCTAGTATCCAACAAAGGAGCTGTTGCTCTTGTGCTGAACAGCAGCAAGTAAATCCTATGCATGCACACTTGTGCAATGGGTGTTTTTCCTTGTCCAGGGGGCACTCCCTAAGGAAGAGTCACCTGGTTGAGAAAGCAGCCAGGAACAAGCATTTCCCGGCCTCTCCCTTGGAATCTATGCCTATTTCAAATGCCTGATCCAGTTTCAGAGAAGATTTAGCCAAGTGTTCCAGTCCCACAAGTGACACATCTTCCAAGCAGATGACATTTCCACACCAGAAACCTTGGCAAAACAGCAAGCCAGAGAAGAGTCAACTTAAGGGATTTCAGGACACTTAGCTTCTTAAATCTCCCAGCAGTTAATAACTGCATATGGAACCATATTGAATGTCTCCAATGTAAACAGACCAGCTTGCCAGATCAAAGACTCAACACTCCTCTGTACTCCTGATAGTCGGTAATATGGGACCAATATATTTCTGTACCTCAAAAATCTGTACTAGACTTTATATGCTTAGCCAGCCCGTCTCCAAAGCTATGACTTCGTAGATGTTTCACTAACATTAAGCATATAATTTTCTTAGTTTCAGGATACTGTAATTCGTATTGCCAACAGACACCAATTTATTCAGAATGCAGTCCACAGCAGTTCTACAGACAACCATACTTTTTATTTTGACTTCAATCCAAGGGGGGAACAAGATAGATGTTGCTCAATTGAGAAATTAGAGCTCTCCAGCTTCCACCTTTCTATCATTATCTCTGAAAGTGAACAAATGTGCCACATCTAACGGAAAAGACACCATTAATTCATTAATGCAGAAATAGGTGAGAGAATAAATCCTCAGCTTTCTCCAAGCACCTAAATAGTACCATTTTATAGCATATGTGCTCACAGCTAAATATTTGCTTGTTACCACCCTCATCAGCTGAAGGTGGGGTATTTTTAACTTTAATATGTAATGGTATCACTTCTCCTGACTCATCTCCAGATGAATCAGCTGTATTACAGTACTGCAGTACTTTCAAAGTATTTTGCCATTTGTGTCATGTACATTTCTAACCTCAATGTCAACCTTCTTATGAAAGCCAGATCAGTTCCAGCTCAATAAATTTAACCAATCTGCTCCCTCCCGTCTCTATGTTGTAGGAGTGAGTTCATTCCCAAACCATCCCTCTGAGGACAGGATCCATTCACTTCTAGACAAGCCTCAAAGAACTTGGCTGTCCTGCTTTCCTATTTGGCAGCTTACATCAGAGTCAGATAGTTTCCCCCATATTTAAACCTTTCTTGTTATAATGCAGCCTCCCCCAATCTGGTGCCTCCCAGATATTTTTGACTACAGGGCACTGGGTTGGGGAAAAGCTACTGTAGCACAACAAACACAAACACAGTGAGGCTTTTCTCTAATTGATAAATTGCAAATGATTCATACATTCTTCAACCTCTTCCTAAAACAACTGAACCAAAGACATAACAGGATCAATAGCAAAAACTGCATGTATTCCTCATGTTTCCCTTAGAATTCCTGTTATTTGCCATGGCATTCTCATTGATTACAAGTGCTTTTATGAACAATGATGACACAATCTGTGTACTGTGCCCTAGCCAAGGAACAAGAGGAGCCAAGTAGAGCAGAAAAATTGTGCATTAACCAAAAAACAAAACACCAAACCATGGGGCAAAATCCCATTGCACATGGATATTTCATTTTTTAACATATTTACAGACTTAAAATAGTTTGTGGAACTGTATTTAATGTGTTTTATTTACATTAGGAATCACTGCAAAAAGAAGAAAATATTGGCCACCAAGTCCTATTTATAGTTTGGAGAGTTTGATGACTTGTTTCACTGTGAAGATTTGTGGTTCTTTTCAGTGCAGAGGATTATTATTTTTTTACCTATTTCTGTAATGTAGAAATTGCTCTAGGCTTAGCAGCACTCAATATTTGCTTCAGGCATGTACCCAAGCAAGTTTCCCAGTCAGACTACCAGACAACTCTGTTTATTATTATTAACATACAGAACATACATTTTTACGCTTTAGTTGTGCCCGATGTACTCAGGGAACAACTGAATGTGTTCCAGCACTTCAAAGCACCAGCCAGGTGAACACTGCCTGATATAATAATCCCTATACAGTGGTACCTCGGGTTAAGTACTTAATTCATTCCGGAGGTCCGTTCTTAACCTGAAACTGTTCTTAACCTGAAGCACCACTTTAGCTAATGGAGCCTCCTGCTGCCGCCGCGCCACCGGAGCACGATTTCTGTTCTCATCTTGAAGCAAAGTTTTTAACCCGAGGTAATATTTCTGGGTTAGCGGAGTCTGTAACTTGAAGCGTATGTAACCTGAAGCGTTATGTAACCCGAGGTACCACTGTATTTTGGAGGGGGGGGACTTCCAAGCTATTACATCAGAACAAAACTCTTTAAAAAAAACTTTGTGAAGACAAAGATACATTTATTGGGATTCATTAATATGAAGGGCTGTGTAGCTATTACAAAATGGAGCAAAAGGAAAGGAAGGGGGGGTATTTACTCTAACTCCATTTTTCTGGAACTGTAATCAGTTCCTCTGCTTTGATGATGGAGAGATTCATTGTTCACACTTCTGCTGCTATTAACTAGTTTACTCAATTACTTCCTCCAAGAAGAAAATCCAAAACAACATGAAAGGCAAAGTTCAGAGCCATCCAGAGGTAGAACCCTAGAGACCAACAGCTGTACACCAGCCTATTCTGCAGAATTTAGAGGCCTCTTTGGTTGGGGAGGGGAAAAGGAGTGCAGGGAGAGACATGCCTGGGAACAGCAGATGGAAGAGTTGAGTCGGGAGGGCCCACCATCCATGAAAAACCTGAAACTGACAAAGGGACAAATAGAAGAAGATACCTTCACCCCGGTATGGCTCCCCTTTATCACATACACAGCCCAACAAGACAACGACAAGAATCCACCAACAGCATACGAATCAATACGGCTAACCTGATTCAAAAAAACACCTACCCACCCCACTCACACATGAAAACAAAGTTCAACACAGCCAATCACAAACAAGGAACCACACCCTAGGCCAACCCCAACCTCTCTCACCAGCAAAGAAACAAAAGCGAATAGTAAAGAGAACCCGCACAAGCTACGCTGACACAAAACCCATCACACATACATTAAGTAAAATAGAAACATTGCCTCCCGACCCCACCCCCACTCGCCTTTCCCCCCTCCATCTCCCCCCCCTTTCTTCCTAATGTAACCCTAATGTCTCAACAAATGAAACTGACCTATGGAAAATGTAACTTGAAAAAAGAGACATTGCGCATACCTTTATAAACCAATAAAACTTTAATCTTTTTTTAAAAAAAATGATTAAAGATATTGATTCAAATTTGTTGAAAGTGAAAGTACAGAATGGAGTTTAAAACCTATGCATTTAGATGTGCTCAGACATGTTACCATGATGTTTTTATGAGCGTTGATTTACAAAAATTGGCATGATTCATAACAAATAGTTACAAATTTGCTGTGTTTTATTATTTTCCTTAATAAATGGTAAATTATGGAAAACAACAACCTTGATGACGACATTTTCCTCAGCATGGAAAGGAGACCAGATTTAACTGATTTATCAGGTCTCTCAACATCAAACAAAATGTACCATTTAGTCCTCAAATAGAAACAACATTCGAAGGATGCTTAGTGCCAGTGGAATGGAAGTAACTACTCTGAAAATCCCAAGTACAGTACTTAGAGCTACATTCTAAAAAGTATAATTATGGCTCTCTTTCAAAGCGTAGCCTCTGTGAGCCTCTGGAGGTGCCCTTCCAACTCACTGTACTTTCCCCCAATTAGGTCCTAAAGCTTTTAACTTTCCAGCTGTGCAACATGGACATCTTTAAAAGACATCTGATGGCAGCCCTATTTAGGGAAGTTTTTAATATTTAATGCTGTATTGTTTTTAACACTTGATTGGAAGCCGCCCAGAGTGGCTGGGGAAACTCAGCCAGATGGGCGGGGTATAAATAATAAATTTATTATTAATTATTATTATTATTATTATTATTATTATTATTATTATTATTATTATCATCTCTGTATGTTTTATATCTGGGTCTTCCTACTGATTGATGAGAAGTTGCCAGTAACAGCTTTTTCACTCCTCTGCAGTCTATGCCTCTAACCACGTATGTTGCCACTTTTTTCCTTATGATCTGTCCTGGGCTAGAGTGAGATGCCACCAACCAGATCTGCTTAGCCTATGCTTCATATGGGAATTTTGCTTTAGAAAAGCCTTTGCTGACTTCCAAATGTTTCGTGCTCTCCAGCTCCCATCAACCACAGCTGCTTTAAAGGTTTGGCACATCATAAAACCAGAGTCTGATCTAATAACGTTATCTATTTACCCTCTCATGCCGATCAGCAGAACCAAGGGGTTCTGAACCACTTCAAGCTGCATGTGGGATGTGCTTGCCTGGCTCTTCCCCCATTTACAACAAAAACAAAACCAACTTTAAAGTGACCATCTGAGAAAGTTAAGCTAGACAGTTTTTTCCAGACATGCCAATGTATTTTTTTCACATAATATTGAAAAAATACTGTTTGAAGCCATACAACAGCTCACAGAAACAAGATGACATTATAGCACAATTATGTTCCTCGCCACATTGCCAAAGCTTTAATGTTTAGGAATGCAGGATGCAACTGTGTTATTTCCCCCCAACAAGACACTGTTCCAACGTCCCTTTCAAAACAATGGGCATGAGGAGCTAAGTGTGGTACATCCCTTTTAGAAAAAAGGAAGTTAGCTGGCAATTCTTAAAACTGGTCCACTGCTGGTTTCCACTTGGTTCCAGTAGTAATTGTGCCTGCGTAATGCACACAATACTGTGCAAAATAAAGCTTCCTCCTCATTACTTTGTTTTATTACAAATATTTACATTATTTTTTAACAGAAGATAGTGTTATACGAAAAATAGAATCTTGGTGTGGGAAGTATACTCCCTTCTTGGCCATGTAGCTTCTGTCACAATATTCTAGAACTGCAAAACAAAGTTTGCGCTATATGCATTAAATTGTCATCACTGTATTGACACTTTCTGAAAAGCGCTGAGC